AGGTCGGAATCCAAACTGCTCGTCCGATAACAGACAACAGTCTTCTAAATATGTCTTAAGCTGAAGTGAAACAACTCTTTCAAGAATCTTAGACACAACGTTTAACAGAGAAATCGGTCTGTAATTAGTCGCATCCCTGGGGTCACCTTTACCCTTAAAAATAGGGACAACTTCTGCAGTTTTCCAACACAGTGGTATGGTACCGCTGTTGATCGAGGCGTTCAAAATACGCAAAAGCGGCAGAAGCTGCCTGCCTGAGAAAGACTTAAATAAAAATGTAGGCAGCTTATCGGGACCAGCTGATGAATGCATTTTGAGCGAACGCACTACAGAACGAAGTTCGGCCAGCGTTGCTGGACGAAGATCAAATTTGGTGGATAAAACTCTAGTTGGACCAGAAACAACGTCAGTGTCATTCCTATTCCCAACAACATTAGCACTGGTGGATGAATTAGACCCTAACGAACAGAAGAAGTCATTAAATGACTGTGCTGTATGCTTATCTAGGACCTGAGTGGCCTTTGACCTACCCAAGGTCGAATTTATCAGATCCCACGTATCTCTGCTGGATGAATGAGTTGTGATACTGGACTCAAATTTTAAACGTCGCTCTGAGGAGATGGCACTCCTTACCTGCCGGCGCATGCGCTTATAAAGAGCAATGTCAGCTGGGGAACCAGAGACACGAGACACACGCAGCTGAATAGTTGCTGAACGGATAAGCTGTCTTGTTTCAGCTGAAATACCAAAACCAGATTTATGTTTAAGTGAAATAGTAATGAATGGGGCATGACGATCGATGACAGGAGTTACAGAGTCTGTCCACCCTTTCCATGCCTCATCAAGAGAAGTATCATCACCTATTTGTGACCAGGAAATCGTCCGTAAATCTCTAGAAAATGACTCAAAATCGATATTTTTCCAGTTGCGGAATGTTATTGCTTTGGGTTTCACTTTAGTTCTCCTTACTTTAATTTTTGCTATAACTAAGTTATGATCGGATGCAATACAGTCTAGCGAAGAGCATTCTGTCACAATAGAAGAATCACTAACAAGAACTATGTCAATGAGGGTGGAACTAGAGCTTGTAATGCGGGTCGGGTGGCTGACGCACTGTTGCAGTCCAGTATTGCCGATGACAGAAAGCAGTGATCGAACGTGGGGAAGGTTTGGTTGAAGCAGATCACAGTTTAAGTCGCCACACAATACAACACATTTACCTGCCGATAAGAGCTTTTGAATCGATAGCTCTAGCGCCTCAAAATCTAATTTAATGCCATCGTACTTGGGCGGTCTATAGACACAACCTATGGCCAGTGCTCGGTTATGGCCACACTGTACATTTATCCAAGTTAACTCAAGCCGGCTGGAGCCATGAAGAGCCGGGCTAGAGAGTTTCGAGAACGTAAGGTCATTGCGGCAGTAGATGGCTACACCGCCGCCCTTCTTCCTCGACCTATCGACTCTACTGGCCAACTTCATACTGGCAATGGGTACATCAGGCTCACCCCTCCTTAGCCAAGTCTCTGTAAGGCACAACACATCAATGTGGTGACGCTTAACATAATCTGACACAATATCTGATGAGGGTGTCAAAGATCTTACGTTCAGGTTACCTACTGATAAGACGTATTTTGATGACTGCACGCGACTATGGCTGATGCTGGTACCCAGCACTCTACATGGACTCGAGACCAAGGCAGCGGCTACTGATGGCAAGGAAGGCGAGGTACGAGACGCGGGGACTGGGGAACCTGACGATTCCTTGGCTGGTTCATTAACTACACTATGTTTGGGTCTTCGGTGCTCAGACCCTATAAAAAAGTATTTCCTGTCAACTGTAAGATCGATCTGAGGGTCTGCGTGGCACCCTCCCTATTGTAGTGAACTGCGTCTCTCGCTAATCCGCTGAATCTACAGCTGTGCAGAGCCTGCCGCAAGTCAATAAATTTGATGTCAGGACTCTGTGAGCAGAGAGTGCGCAGCCTATTGTTGACGCTCTCAGATCTGCTGTAGATGAAGGATCCGGTGTCCTTTCTTGGGATTATACTACATATAAACACATCGCTTACACCATCCCTACGCTTAGTTTGGTCAGCTAAACTGAATATGTCCTTTGCGACCAGTTCGGATCCTTTGCGAGTTACGTCATTAGTCCCAGCATGTATAACAACCCGTTTAGCACCACATTTGCGTATGGCCTGGCTGATGTCCTGTCTCACGTGCTCGGTAGTGGCACCTGAGATGGAGTGAAAAGCGGGTTTACTGGGGCCGCGTACACTCATTCCCTCGAGGCGCCTCACGTTGGAGTCACCGATCACCAGCAAAGACGTCCCTGCATTAGCGGGCTGGCGACCGGCGTGCCGTTCCCCAGCGGTCGTCCGGTGATGGCGAGCTAAGTCCTCAGCTGTCAGTAGCTGCTGTGTGTCAGCCTCTGCTGGGTACTGGGCATGACACGCTGAAGAGCGTTCAGGTTGACAGCCGTTCTGCTGCTGCAATGAATGAACCAGCTGCCTCACCTGACTGATGTCTTCAGCCATCCTGTCCATTTTAAGCTGTGTCAGTCGCACTGCCTCCATCACATCCATCAGAGTGACCGCCAGGAATGATGGTCCAGGCACAGGCTCAGATGGCTCAGTCGGCGGCGACCGATTGTGTGACAGTGGCTTCTCGGACGGCGGCTGGGAAGGCACAGATAGCGGCTGTGGCAGCTCTGATGGCGGCTGCTGCCTCTCAGGTGGCGGCGGCTGCTGCTGCTCGGATGGCAGCTGCCGCCTCTCGGGTGGCGGCTGCTGCCTCTCAGGTGACGGCTGCTGCCTCTCAGGTGGCGGCTGCTGCCTCTCAGATGGCGGCTGCTGCTGCTCAGGTGGCGGCTGCTGCCTCTCAGGTGGCGGCTGCTGCCTCTCAGATGGCGGCTGCTGCTGCTCAGGTGGCGGCTGCTGCCTCTCGGGTGGCGGCTGCTGCCTCCCAGGTGGCAGCTGCTGCTGCTCGGGTGGCGGCTGCTGCCTCTCGGGTGGCGGCTGCTGCCTCTCAGGTGGCGGCTGCTGCTGCTCGGGTGGCGGCTGCTGCCTCTCGGGTGGCGGCTGCTGCCTCTCAGGAGGCGGCTGCAGCCTCTCTGGTGGCGGCTGTTGGTGCTCGGTTGGCAGCTGCTGCCTCTCGGGTGGCGGCTGCTGCCTCTCGGGTGGCGGCTGCTGCCTCTCGGGTGGCGGCTGCTGCCTCGGGTGGCGGCTGCTGCCTCTCAGGTTAATAGAGGGCATTTTTCGAGCACCGACTTTTATGCTGGGTTTTCGTAAAAATTTGTCAAAGTGTTTTGAGAAAGGTCAAAATGCACAATGCAGCCGAGGGAGTCGATACATGATAAATTGTCTAGAGCGATATGCGCTGAATACATCAAGTGCAAGCTGAATCATAGCTAATTAACGTCTGCTTGGAGGAAGAAACTCCTCGGTCTATATAGGATATATTTGAAAAATCGGTGGCTGAAAAATTAATCCCGGCTGTCTGGACAACTGTATTGTACAGTAGTCCTCCAATTTGGGGCATCGTCACTTGGTGCTCTGATTGAGCCGTCCACGTGACGCGTTCACCTTTCGGCTCTGAAGTGGCCGACCGGGCGCAACCCCAGCTCGTGTATGGGTCGGCGGCCTCGTATGGGTCGGCCGCCCGCGTGCTCAGCCCTGACCGCGCCCTGACCGTATGGGTCGGCCGGCCGGGTACTCAGCCCTGACCGCACCCGAGCGCCCGATTCCACCCGGGGCCCGGCTTTGGCAGTCAGCCTGTCCAGCCAAAGCCAAAGTCCCTTCAACTGCGCCCCGGCAACAAACTACATAATCACCACGTGCTTCCTTCTTTCACTTGCGATTCGTGTTAAATTTAGTAACACATTTACCTTGTATTCTGCAAATGTATTCACACAAGCCTTATGTGTTGAAGACACAATGATATTGTGTTTTAGGACACAACACGACTGGGTTAACACATTTGTAAATTGACACGTCTGCGACGGGTCAAAAAATGCATGATGCAGGGTACACAAGAAAGCCTAGTTAACACGCTCTGCCTGTGCGTTTTTAGTCGTTTTTTGTGTCATTTTGTTTTCAGTGCAGTCAGACTTGCATACAGTGAAATACATGCATCCGGACATACATGATACTGGCTTTCAAATGTGGGTGCAACATTTGTCAAAGTCCACCCTCCAGTGACATTTAATTCACGGAAGAGTGACGGCCGACAAAATGTTATTCCTGATTTTTCCGGTTAGATTGAGGCACACATGAACTTCACATGAACATCCGCATATGTACAATTCACACTTAAAAACTTTCGAAAAGATGTGCGTTAAAAATGAGCAATCGGAACGTTTATGCCTAATGCACGGAGCGAAATGATCTCGCACATCCCTTCTTATATTTTCTTCTAATCATAAGTGATTCATATCACATTCTAATCTTCTTAGGACTGCAAGGCGACCCTTTAAGTATATAGACTGGGAAATATATGCATGTTCTGCACGAAGTGGAAATCATTCTAGCTTATAACATATGCTTAGTCCCTAACTGGGTTATATGCTATTTGATGTTGTGTTACATATGTACACTGTACAGCTTTATGTTCTGTAATTGAGGTCTGCAATTTAGCCAAAATGGAAAAAAGGATCTTTGAACTATCTAATCAAATGGATGTTTAGGCGTCATACTTTTTACCAATCGTAATCTTCACAATTATGCAACCACGTTATGAAATGGACAAACGTCAAAGCCACAGCACATGTGCCGGTCACTTTTCACATTTTGTTTCGGCCTGCACGTGCGATGCTGGGGGCGCGGCGCGTGTATAAGGACCTCGCCCTACTCACCCCTAAATGTCAATTCGTCTGTCAGTAAGTAGCACATGCCTGGTGCTGCGTAATGGCCGAGCCTCTGACGCGTCGTGGGCGGCTTCTGATTGACACACCCTCCGGATTCGGGTGAGTATATAGCGGTGAGCTGGCGCCGCCACGGCAGAGCTCTCTGAGCGCTATCAGGATGCGTCTCCTGTCGCTTCTCCTGCTGCTCTGCGCGGCAGTACTCGCCGCACAAGGTAGGTGTAAGATACGGCCTTGGGTGTAAGGACGGGTAGGGCCGAGTTCGGCGTTTTTTAGGAGATTGGACACGCCATACTGTGCGGCGGACTTGGGTGTGATTTGGATTGGACTTGGGTTTGATTTTGTAGAGTCTCTGTATTTCAGTAGGGATAAGCCAATCAACAGCAACTTACCGAAGTTGAAAGTTCGTGAATCCCGAATGTGATTCGGACGAGCTGCTTGTGGCAAGGAGACTAGTCTTCACTGAAAACTTTTTTACCATTTCCTGAAGGGTAAACCCGCCATAGCATGGTAGCTTGACACACAGACGTTTTTTACCACCTTCCAGATGGTAAATTTTTCTCTTTCATGAAGAGTAAACTCGCCAGGGAGGGGTAACATGACACACAGACGTTTTTTACCATCTTCTGAATGGTAAACTCTTTTGATTTACTCTTGTCTAGAGTGTAACATTTTTTGGGTTACACTCTTTGAAAGGGTAAATCTTAAACGGAACCCTTTTCTAGGGAGTAACGCATCATCTACTCTGTGCTTTACCCTCCTACAGAGAGCATATTCTTCTGGCCTACCCTTTGTCACATGGTAATGTTTACTCTTTCCTTTAGTGTAAACCCCCCAGAGGATGGTAACAGACTCACAGACGCTTGCTTCAGAAGCTTCACGAAGCTTCTGTTAACCGGAGCTCACCAACTAAAAAACATGCTTCAAGAGCAACAATGTATATTTGGCTTCCGTACAAACAATACGAGGGGCACACCAGCCATGAACATTGTGAGACTCTTCACTTATGCATACGAATTTATACGAAGCGTTCAGCAATGCACAAGCGGTAAATAAACACCACGATACAACTTGAATGCACTTTGAATGTGAATACAAGACATTCAGCGCCCTCATATTGGATAAGCCACAGCGCACAATATTTGAAGAGAGCGACGGCGTTCCTGGGTGGTCGCCCGTCTGCGTGAGATAATGAGACTGGATCACTACAGTGCAGGGCTTTTTCAAAGTCACCAACAAAATGCATAAACTTGTAGCATCACAACAAAATTAATGTACGCACTCACAACCTAGGCCACGTGGCCGTGCACGGGGTCCTGTTAACCAGGTCAAATTAGCACCACTCAACGGCATGCAATGCTCTAGCACATCGGTACTTACAATAAAATGTCCACAGAGGCTCTATAGGCGATGAACAGCACACAAGCACAATCACCAACGGCCACGCCGCGCGGCACCGACACTGCTCACATCCGCTCTCGGAGACCAACGGCCGAAAACTGACAGATGCGCGCGGCCTTCAAACCGCAAACGGCCGATCTCGTTTCTGATTGGCTGAGTGATTCCATTTCAAATATCATCTTCACGAGGGTAAACAAGATCCACGCATGAAACGACTATCTGTACACGAGTCACGATACCCAGAAGGAAAGAGTTTTCGTGATGTTCTGGATCGCGAGAGTAATATTGATATTTGCATGGTAATAATACTCTTCGCTGGCGAATAAGTTCATATCAACCACGTACCGTTACTATGCACATAATGGTAGCAAAGAGTTACCCTTTCAATATACTCTTATCTTGCTGGTTTGATGAAAATGAACCCTCCAGGAGGTAGTAAAAAAGTTTTGAGTGTTGCGATACCACAATTAGTTTACAGCCGATGCTATATTGAAGCACATGAGTCCGGCATTATCGTAGTATGCGTCCCGATTTTTTTTTTATTGAGGGGGAAAAGAACTTTCTCCGGGCTAATGATAACAAAAATCCTAAACGATATTGTTCTTCAAGGATAGCTTGTTAGGTATTGAGTGCATTGATAGCTAGCCGCACTGATATAAAAGTTTTGTGAACGTTATTATGTCTGTCGAAAATATCTCATCCTTCTAGTCCTCAGATGCCGTCAGCCAGTGACTTATGTACAGCTACTTGCCAGCGCTGATTCGTGAGGACATCTTAGCTAAAAGTGTGTTCTGTTTCAGCGGACATCGTCAAGTACCGGCCATGCAAGCACGTCGGCCAGTCCTGCGGATCGTACAATAAGAACATCTGCGTGCGGTGTCCCAAGGGCGTGGGACTGTGCTGTGTCGCCCGACCAGTGCCCGGTATGTGATGACGCCCACTTCACATCCTCCCCGGCTGTCTCACACACAGCACCACTCAGTACGGTGACTCACTCCTTGCTCTACCTGGATCCCTTCGAAATTTTACCTGACACTCTTCTTTCCATCAAATTGTTAGCGTTTTTGTTACCGACCAGCGATCAGACTAATCACTTCTTTTAATCACTATGTGATGGACATGAAGATCTTTTACGTCATTCGACGTCATGCAAAGTAGGTATACACAAAATTCCTGTAAGTGTAAACGCAAATGTTAACTTTGCACGACAGGTTGAGTGAGTTTGACTATTCACAGTGTGAAATCTACATCATGCAGCTTTGCGCCTAATTTCGTTATTGCACCATCACAGTCTAACCGCGCATGGTTGTCACAGTTCCAGTCTACCACTGCAAACATCCCGGTCAGAAATGCGGCACTGGAGTCTGCGGCAGATGCAAGAGGAACCCCAAGCAGCTCTGCTGCAACCCCAAAATCCGACCGAGGCCCAGACCCATTAGTAAGCATGCATCAGTCCGAATTTTTATTGCTTAGGTCAAGTTCCAAACGCAGCACACGTATGACAGCAGCCCGCATTTACGGAGTGTTAGCAGGAACAGTGACCTGTCACGCTCGGCTAGTGGGGGGGGGGGGACAACCCATTTTCGATCAGTAAGGCGGCATCCCCGCGCACGTTAAATATGCGAGCTCCAAGTCCTTCTTCGCGTTGCAGCTTCGATGGCCAAATATTAGCGTCGTCGCATTCCACTGAGAGTCCGCTTCTGTCAATAATAATGAAAAACAAAATAAACACATTAGTTCACTTCACGTAACAAAAAGAAGCGAAAGGGTGCAATCCCATAGTTAAATTACGAATCTGTTCAAGCTGTTTTCTGGACGGTATGCTGAATACTGACACGTACCATTCGTTACAGTTGAAAGGTGCACAAGCATTAATCAGAAATGCGCCTATGGAGTTTGTGGCAGGTGTCCGAAAAACCCCAAACAACTCTGCTGTATCCGCAGGAGGCCTAGGCCCGGTAAGAACCCAGACAAAATAGTCGTTTTCACGACGGCCATCTGGTACACATTTGGTTCACATCTGGTGCAGATTAGGTGCAGATTTGGTCAAATTAGGTTCAGTGTATCTCTTAGTAGCTATCACCTAGGGTTGCACTAATTGCTTATATGCCTGTTTTGTCATATTAACTATCAGAGAGCATCATCGATTAAAACACTGAAATAAATTCATGAAATAAAGATATTTGCTGTAAGAGAGATTAGGTGCAGATTTGGTCAAATTAGGTGCACTCGCCGGATTGCCCGTCGTGAAAACGGCTAATGTGAACATACAATTATCAATTAAGATATCAATTAACCTTAATAAATATACGCCCTTCCACAACAAAGTGCATAACGAGGATCCAGTCACTATTTTAAATTTCAATAAAGATAATCTCGAACAGCTCTCCGACAGCAGAGACGCAACTCGCTCAACTGGTATCCTAACAGAGAGTATGTTTTAGGGCCTTGGCAGAGAGCTTACAAGTGATACATACACAGTTGGATGGACTAATGAGATCGACCGGTGCCCATTTCGTACAAACGAAAAACAACAGAGAATACGGCGCATAATCAGAAACCAATGCGGAAAATATGCATCATTAATCAATTAGAGAGCACGAAGTAAATTTGAGGCTTTGGATCATGTTGTCATTTATTCATACCGTCAAATGCCGGTGTAAAAATGATGGGTTACATTCGAATGCATTTCTTCCTTTCTAGCGAACCATATGTATACGACAAGACGGAAACTCGCATTTGACGGACACTGTTTTGTTTCAGTGAAGTGCACGCAAGTTGGCCATAAATGCCGCCGAGGTGTGTGCAAAAGGTGTCGGAAGAACCCCAAACGGCTCTGCTGTGTTCGCAGGAGGAGGCCCGGTAAGCAAAGAAAAACAATACAGCAAACGCCTTGTATTTGAAAATATTAGGCAAAATATACCGAAGCGTCAGCTACAAAACTACCTTGCTGTTAATTAACGCTCGCTCATTGTTATGTTTCAGTTAAGTGCTTGAAGAGAGGCCACAAATGCCGAGGCGGTGTCTGCGGAAGGTGCCCGAAAAACCCCAAGAAGCTCTGCTGTATCCGCAGGCGCCGGCCACGCAGATCCCCCAGTAAATGAGCCTAGGCTATGTACAGACAATTTTCCCGTAAAACCACAAACATGCACAGTTTTCGCTTTGGACTACTGTTTAGATATAACTTGGAAGTATTTTTGTGACACAGTATTTTCTTTTACAAAAATAAACAAACTTGTGATAGCCTATTTCACTTGAATGCCATTGTGATTGGACACAAACTTTACTTTTAAAACTGACCATTCTTCTCTTGCAGTTGTGAAGCGCAAGTGGGTTGGTCAGGAATGCGCCTATGGAGTTTGTGGCAGGTGCCGGAATAACCCCAAGCAACTCTGCTGTATCCGCAGCAGGCCTAGGCCCGATCACATAGGCGAAGCGGTTGGAAAAATACAACTTTTTTATTCGACTCTATCCTTATTACGAGCGAGCGAGCGCAGCGAGCGAAGCGAGTCTTTTCAATATAACGGAAAAATCGCAGTATGAGCGGCCCGGCCTGTAACGCTTTTGAGAGGCAGTTATATCTCAGCAACCGCTGGACCCATTGGCCTGCGGTCTTTTTTGCTGAGTAGCCCCATCCCTTCTACCCCGTAATTAACTACTTTTGATAAATCTCAGTGACCGTCGTGGCACGTGCCACGTGAAAAGTCAAGGGTGTTCAAGCCGTTTTGCAAAAGTAGTGATTTTGAGAGACCCATATCTCAGCAGCCGCTCGGGGGATTGTCTTGCGGTAATTTTTGTAGGGTAGCTGCATCCCTTCCACCAATGGTCGGACACTCTTGATCTATGTGAGTGAGTAGTGACCCCCACTGCACGTGCAAAATGCAAAAAGAAGAGGTGCCAAATTTGTTCCCATTTCAATAACTCGGTAATTACTGGGGCGATTTCGCTGAAACTTGGCATACAGGTAGGCACCCACCAGGCAATGCATTCCCATGTGTTGCGGTTAGGGTGCTGCTGCACGTGCGCACGTGCACGGGGAGCTCCCAGATATCGAGAACGGCTGGGCCGATTGTGCTCAAATTTGGTACACGGTTGGGGACCGGTTAGTAGGGTGCCGTGCAAAAGTCATTTTGGACCCCGTTTGCACGTGCGCACGTGCAGAATGCTGCTTCCAGGTCTCAGGAACGGCTAGGCCGATTGCGTTCAAATTTGGCACACCGCTAGCGACCGGTAGAAGGGTGCTTTGCACAAGCCCGTTGGAAGTACCCTCTCGCCCTTCCGCACGTGCAGGGCTCACTATCGCGCTCGCTCGTTCTTCGCCCAAAAGGCGTTTTACTGGTATCAAAATGTGTTCTCCATCAGGTGGTCTGAAAATGTTCTATTCGTTTCAGTCCAGTGCAAGCGGATCGGTCACACATGCAGGCACGGAGTCTGCGTCCGGTGCAAGAACAACCCCAAACGGATTTGCTGCCAGCGCCGCCGGCGACGGAGGTCACTCGGTAAAACATAATGACCTAGCTCCTCTAAAGAATAAAAATGGGATAAAAAATAAAACAAAATACAATGCAATACAATAAAATAAAAAACAACATAAAATTATGTTAAGAAATACGCAACTAAAGAGCACACTACTTCAAAGAAACAAAAGCAATCAGTGAGTTTTTATATTGTGCTAATCAAGTGATAGCTCGGCGATAAATCGATAAATCGATAAATAGTGTCGTGGTAGAGCGGATCACACTAAAGGTCGATGTGTCTGTAAAGCCACACATTTCCGCACTGTAGCTGAGCTGTCTAGTTCCGTTGACGTTTGCTGTCAGTTGAAGGCCGCCTCATGGACAAAATGTATAAATCGTGTGCAGTGTATGTAGGCATTACTGTTGAACTGTTGACATGCTAATATAACGTGCGATGAAATAAAATAAAAGGCTAAATACAAAACCATTTTAAAAGTCAATGATAAAACATAATATTATTCATATTTTATCATAATAGCTCCTCCCATCCAGCGTTTGTGCCCATATAGGTAGTGCAACAACTGCTACCAATGCACACTGCTGAATGGATCCAAAACCAAACTAAGCCACCGGTTCTGGTTTCAGCCCAGTGCAAGAAGAGATGTAGAGGTTACGACAGGTACTGCACCCGTCGCGGGTGTCCCAGAGGGTACAAGGGCGGCTACTGCTGCCGCCGACGGGTCCGTCCCATCACACTGAGTGAGTGACATAGTGGTCCACACTGTGCACCACACTTGACATAGCTTACAAAGGCTCTAAAAAATCACAACACTATTCATGCCATTCTTATCCTGAGGTTTAATTTAGGTCAAAACATTGGAGGCAGTGTATTGCTGAGACCGAACCAAAGACCTCTTTACAGGTCGTCTTCGGCTCGTTTCTCCCAGACAGTTCACTTTTCGTCCTTTCTGACGTTTGTTGTCTTCCGCCTCAGAGCAATGCAAGGCGAGGTGTCGGGGCCGCTATCAGTACTGCAGTACGTCCGGATGCAGGAAGGGCTACAAGGGCTACTGCTGCCGCACGCGTCGCAACATCTCCATCCGTGAGTTCGATTTTCATCAATCGTTAACACATTGTGACCTGACTATTGCTGAACTAACACACTCCGATGATTTTTGGCAAAGATACATATAAAAGCTAAACGGAAAAATTGTATCAGTTTCCAACTAACTCAATTATCCCTATTAGTGGCAGGGGGGGGGGGGGTGTTTTTATCCACCCCTCAGGTTTTTCGGGAATATCTCCGAAACCGCTGAAGCTACGATGCTGAAATTTTCTGACTTTTCCTCAAACTAAATTGGGCACATACCCTGAAAATTTCAAGTTCATAACTTTACCAGGGGCGGCTCCAGAGCACTGGGAATTGGGGGGTCCTATTCGTGAAGCGAGTCATTTGGGCGAAGATCACGATGCTGCACCAGTTTTACGAACAGTGAATGAAAGGTATCATGTGATAACATATACAAAGTTATTGTGCATCCTCTTTTGACACGTTTTTGCTATAATAGGCGGATCCAGGCGTCCAAAAAGGGGGGTTATTTTTTACCTCCCAACATAGGTGCCCTGACACCGCCTATGCATGACCAATACAATTTTAGTCGTTCTCTCATAAGAGAATTGTAACATAACAAGACCATTGCCACCCTTTTTAGAAACAGTACCAACAAAAACCTTATTTACTATACTTTTTGTGTACCCCCAATCTCAATGATCTGTATTCGCCTATGATTTTTGAAAATGCATATTTTTAGGATCCATGTGAATTCCTGGTTCATTCTTTATCGATCGGCAAAAGTTGCGTTAAGATTGGTTCAGAAACCTGGCCGTGATAAACAGTCTAAAATGTATCTGCAATTTGCCCGTTTTTACCCCCTCTACCCCCCTATTGACATTTTTTTTTAAAGAAATGTAGATCTCGTTGAGCGAAATCGAATGCCGTTTGAATTTTGAAAATCGGTCCGTTAGATCTCGAGATATCAAGGGGGGGGGGTCGTAAACAGCCCCCCTGCCACTAAAAGGGGTAGCCAGGAGCCTGCCACTAATAGGGTTAATCGCTAAGACTTATTTTGGCACGACTGAAATACTAAGCTGTGCAATCCTTACTAAACAGTAAACAGCCGATGTGCCGAGCTGAACCTTAGAAGACGATGCTAACGATACTTTCCCGCTGACATTCCCGTCTGCTCTGGCTTATCAACACGTGTGAGCCCTTGTATGGATGCATAGGCGGCGGAACGGGGGGGGGGGGGGGCGGGGGACACCGGGGCACCGTGCCCCCTTGATTTTGCCATTGTAACATTAGCCCTATGGACGTTGCATGGAAAGAATGGGACCAAAAGTTAGCAGTGCCCCCCCCCCCCTTAATTGAAGGTGTTCCGTCGCTTCTGTATGGAATATGGATTATGGATGTTATGTTCCACCTTTCTGACGCCCTCTTCTCGATTGCAGATGAGTGCCAGAAGACCTGCAGAGCTGGAAGCTACTGCACGACCAAATGCCCTAAGCACATCAGGGGCTACTGCTGTGTGCCCAAGTACCACAAGGGCTAAAATCACCGTTAACAGCACCACCAGCTCATCGAAGGCTGGATATCCAGCGAGGTGTCCGACAGACCTCGATGATGATGCAAAAAGGAGCCGTCCGACGTGTTTTTAATTGAAAGTCTGTTAAAAAATGGTACTTTCCATCGTCATAAAATGCGAAGTTCTCTTGAAATACATACGGCAATACATGGGCAAAGCAAGGCACATAAGTTTTTCTGTTTGGTGTTCCATCAAATCACCATATTTTTCGTTTAAAAAATACCCAAGATACGTAACATATTGTTACTAAACCAGTGAACATCAGGATTTAGATATGGGTGTAACGAAGGAGCATAAGGCCAAACCGCAATGTTATTTCAAAGAGTACTACTTGATTAAGCTACAACGTGAAGCAACGCAGCTTCCTCGAACAAGGTGAAATGGATCAGGATCACAGGAAACCGAAACCCAATCAAAGGCGCATGAGAAGTAGTAGGTGATATAAATCCATTGTTACATGCGATGCACGATTGAGTCGAAATAAAAATCACTTACATTACAAGCATCATATAACCTTGACCTGTCAGCCACCACTTGGAGAAGCCTGGCCAGCTGATGTTCTTTAAAACATATAACAAAGCGCAAGATGTGCATTGTGAGGCGTTTGCTCAGTGCGTGCCCAATATTTCAGTCACACAAACTTACACAAAGCTCGACCGCCGATCCGTTCTGATAACTCCACACTGTGGCACTGGCGACATCTATAACTGCAAAAATAGCACAGTTCCAGTACAGATGACAGCACAAGTCGGGCACTGCCCCTGTGCTGACTAGAGGTGGCAAAATGTGGACCCGAGGACCCGGTCCAAAGAACCAGTCTGGACCCATATGGGTCCAGACCGGTTCCTGGAAATTTTCTGACGGGTCCAACCGGGTCCTACCATAAACTATACATCTTGCACACTACACAGTATTGCAAAATATGAAGCGAATGAAGTGAATGTTTCTTTGCACACAGTAGCTCATGAATGTTCCCAGTGGGAAATAAGCTGTTGTACATGATGCAACTAATGATACCTACAAGTAGTTTGTATTAATTGACTTTTGGGGAACTGGTCCAACTGGTTCCGATTCCAACTAACATCGGGTCCGACTGGTTCCAGAAATGTCCAACCGGGTCTGGTTCGAGTCTGGTTCCCAAAATTTTCATTTTTTTGCCACCTCTAGTGCTGACCCTCTACAAAACAGACCATGGTTGGTCTTGTGGAATGCGATGGCATGTTTTGTTTTATCACCCTGCACGCCCAGTATTTCAACTCGGTACAGCTGAATGGTTTTCAAGTTCGCTTTAGAAGAGGATGAAACTCGAACGATCAGATGTAGTTAGCAGTGAACTTCAGTGGTTCACTACCAGTTACACCGCCGCCATGAATATTGACCATCTACACGTTTGCTTATAAAAATCAAACTGAAAACGTCAGGGACTGGATGGTGGTTTTATCGGCCGTAGCTTTACATGTTCTACAAAACTCAGCTACCAAACACTATAGATCAAAAATCAGATTATCTTGATGACAGAGGCCAATGGGTCCGTTCGGCTCGGAGAAAGCAAAGTTGAAAACTGAAAAAAAATATCGGCAGCACCTTACTACCAGGGACGTAGCCAAGGGGGGCCACGGGGGCCATGCCCCCCCCCCCCCCACTGAAGGCGAAAAATAATACAAAATTGAATAAAAGATAAAAATAAATAAAAACAGCTGCACCACAGACCCAAAAAAGTGGGCCAAAACCGAGGAGTTTTCCGTTTTTGGAGGGGGTACGACCCTAGGCCGCGGCCTTTGGCCCCTCCCTGAGCAAAATCCTGGCTACATGCCCGCTTACTGCTTGTATACGAATACTAAGAATACTTAATGCTTGCATAGGTACAGTCCACAGCAGAAGTAATGTGGGGTTTCAGTCATGGGTATGTTCTGCTTCTGAAGCTTAGGAACGATTAGCCAGACTACAATGAAACTTTGAATGTAGCTTATATGTATCGTCACCCTTGCAGCTGCAACTTTAGCTATTGACATCTTCTTTTCGATCACTCCGCATTAAACAATCGTCAGTCAAAGCCAACCGTTGAGATTGGTAAAACCCTACATTACTTTAGCGGTGGGCTGAACATATGCAATATGAATGCCCACATGAGGCAAAAAACGCGATATGTGCATATTAACCACTGCCATTGGAGATGTAAAGAAAACGGTGAGAACTACATACAATTGCCAACGTTCAGCGGGATGTATCGAGCCGAGCGCGTTGAAAATGACTTCGAAATGCGATGCAATTTGCAGAAGATGCACGGCATGCCACCTGGGGTATATGCATGTAAACGTGATTTGCCAGCAACGCCCCGGCGCGGCTCAGATCGCTGGCCAGATCATAAACTCGTTCAACATGCAATCAGTCTAACTTGTTCGGGTAAGAAGTTCATTTCGTTTGGCATGCAGAGCGGTCGGCAACTAGGTGAAAAATGGGTTCGAGTATAAAATAAGCCGTCAGATATATACAATTGTCGAGTGGGCCCAAAACAAACGATAAATAAGTGAGAGTGAATGTCGTGAACAAAGTGAAGCCACGTATAGGTAGTTACTTTTCGGATTATTCTCTGGGATAATAATATCTAACTCAGAGTCAGAAGTCCATATCAATATATTTCGGATGATGTTGCTCACCTTGGGTCACTGGACAAAAAATTAAAAACTACATATATGAAAAACGAAGTGAAGCTAGTTGAGGGTATGCATATGAATAGGTGAAAATAAGTGATTGAGTGAAGGCGTGAGCGAATTGAACCTCAGCTGAGCCGCAGAGGAATGGGTGGATAGGCGACAAGCAATTGGGTGAGAAAAAACTGGTTAGGTGAATAAGTGAGCAAGCCAGAGAGCTGGCGAATGAATGTGCAAAATAACTGATAACATCAAGTAAGTGGCGGAATCAATTAATTAGTGAGTGAATGAGTGAGTGAGTCAGTGAGTGAGTGAGTCAGTGAGTGAGTGAGTCAGTGAGTGAGTGAGTCAGTGAGTGAGTGAGTCAGTGAGTGAGTGAGTCAGTGAGTGAGTCAGTGAGTGAGTGTTGAGTGAGTGAGTGAGTGAATGAGTGGTGAGTGAGTTAGTGAGTTAGTGAGTGAGTGAGTGATTGAGTGCCTGAGTGAAAGTGAGAGTGTGTAAGTGAATGAGTGAATGAATGAAGGTCCAAGTTTTCCACAAATACATAGTTGTGACATACCTACCGGCTAAACGTCCGAAATCAGAAGGAATAAAGGGAGGACACTGACAGGACGGTAAGAACCAAGGCCGTAGATCAGAGAGCCAGAAAATCACTGCCGGAGACAGCGCGGCGCCGTCTTTACCATACCGCCCTCTGACTTCAGCGGCCTCCTGACCCATCCAATGTCACCATATCTCCATAATGGAGAGAGCCCCGTCCCCGTCTCTAGGGTCGCCTCCCCCTCCCCCCCCCCCACATTCCAGAGCTCATCCGGTCCCCGGCCGACCCCGCGACCCTCCCCGTCCCCCTGACCGGCCCCCGACGACCGTGTCCCTGTCATTACGTCCCGACCTGTCCGTCCGTCACCGCCGGACCTGTCACTGCGCCGCTCGCTAACATTAGACGCTGCCAACGGGTCAAGGTGTGCGGCCCAGGTGCGGGCCAGGCCGGTGTCGGCCGGTGCGCCGTCTGGAGACTGCGACGCCGACAGTGGTCGCTAGCCGGCTCCGTGGGGTAGCCGCGGTGCGGGGCGGTTCGGGCGAGGTGCAAAAATGCGGCCCCGGTGGCTGTGGCTGCTGTGTGCGCTGTGCGGGGCGGTGTGCCCCGAGCACTCGCCCATCTACGTGGACAACCACAAGGGTCAGACGGTGGCCGGAGAGGAGATCTCCGAGGTGGACCGGGCGGAGATCCAGGAGGACCTGCTGCTGCTGCTGGGGCTGCACCGGCGGCCGCGGCCCGCCTTCCAGGAGGTGCAGAGCTCGGCGCCCCAGTTCCTCATGGACATCTACAACAGCATGGTCGACGACGAGGACACAGGTGAGGAGTCCAGTGGTCTTCAGGTGAGGAGTCTCAGACTCTCGGCGGTCCGCAGGTGAGGAGCCTCAGACTCTCAGCGTTCCTCAGGTGAGGACGAGTCTCGGCGGTCCTCAGGTGAGGAGTCTCAGACTCTCAGCGGTCCGCAGGTGAGGAGTCTCAGACTCTCAGCGTTCCTCAGGTGAGGAGTCTCGGCGGTCCTCAGGTGAGGACTCGCAGCCATGCTGTGGTGAGGACGGGTCTCAGCCGACAGCCGTCCTGTGGCCATTGGCAGGTCCAGGGCCACGCGGGGTCATGAAGTAGGCAGGTACCCTGTGCGTGACTCGATCTGATGCTCTCAACTAGTGCAGCACGCGAACTTGAACTTTAGGTATCCACTTTTTGCGGCACCTCAGCAGTTCGTTCCATGAAATCTCACTCCTCAATCATACAAAAATGCCGGACGACGATTCCGATTTTCAAGATGTTAAACGGAGGGGCCAGTAACCCATATCGAACTAAAAGTCAAAAGCGTTGAAGGAGGCCGTGTGCTTTAGAAACCGCTACTCATGGATAATGCCTATCTTTTGACGTTCAAGTTATGGTCATAAAAGAAAAAAACTTCTTGCCAGATTTTGTCCAGCATTTTATAATGTAGATCAGGGCATGTAGGTAGCGGCAGTAAAAACTGACCAAAGCAGACGCTACGCCGGACAAAAAATCCAAAGGAAGAGAATAGAGATAGCACATAAATGATAGTTGATAAAAACGCTTCTCCTTTTACATTTGTTCAGCTTTGCTTGTCAATGAGACATGCTGCTGTTGGTCAAGGCACTCGTATGCAAAGGCCACCACTGCACGGGATGAATATGTTAACAGTGCTTGTTATACCTACCCAGTACAATAGGCCAGTACCGTCAGTAGATTAGGTTAGGTTAGATTTTACGGTCCATAGCCCGAATTCAGTGGACCGTAGGCTCGTTTTCGCCAGAGTGCACGGTTTTGTCATGTGGCATGATATTCGGCGTCCCGCAAAGCAATTTAGGCGATGTACAGTACAGTGTATTTACAGGCCATTCCACATGGATCGAGACCTACCATTCCACTTGCCGATGTTCAAGTGAATTCTCTGCAAAGTGAATTCAAGTGAATTCAAGTGAAGTGAATTCAAATTCAAGCAAAGTGAATTCAAATTCAAGCAAAGTGAATTCAAGTGAATTCTCTGCTGGATTGGGAAAATATTTTGAAAGCCCCCATCGGTGTGTCAAGAGCAGCGTGAAACTGGTCAAAGAGCTGCTGAAATGCAACCTAAGCTCTCAGGAATTTATATTATCGTAAATCTCAGTCAAGAACTCGGTGACACGGTCACGTGGCATTCAGAGCTTCTGAATCGGCTCCATAACTTCGTTGCTGGTTCAAAAAGATCAGGAATGCTATAGATTTTTGTTATCGCCTTTCAGCATCGTGGCGAATTAAAGGTAGTGTGCCAGCTTTCCTGGACCGTATGGAGTTAATGGCCCAGATAAAGAGAACCGGATTTTTAGAACTTATCCATACCTTCAAAACTCATGGAAACGTCTTAAATTCTTCAAATTTTGAGTACCCCAGTGCGAAATTCGCCCCGACGGGTTGTCGGTCGTACCCCAACCACATTTCACACCACTATGAACAATAAATGCACACACTGAAATCGCTATCACCGATATGCTCATCCAATCAAGTTTCGATAAACCCGTTCATCATCATCTCCTGCGGTTTCGAACACGCCTGTTAGGTGGTGCGGTAGACCGCGCCCAAAGCCAGGGCCCCGGTAACGTGAGGTAGCCGAGTCGGGGCAGCGTGCGCTGACCCAAGCCGGGGCCGCGCGTCCTCCCGGTGTCATGTGATAGCCCGGGGCTGCCCGCGGGGATGCGGTAGACCGCGCCCAAAGCTGCGGCCCCGGCTTGGGTCAGCGCACGCTGCCCCGACTCGGCTACCTCACGTTACAGGGGCCCTGGCTTTGGGCGCGGCTTCTGCTCATACTTTGTGGTGCGGTGGTGGTGCGTCGGGCCGCGCGCTCTGACTTCGGCCAAGAAAAATGCGTCAGCTGATCACTGTCATTTCTGCCACTTGCGTGTGGTGAAATGGGGTCATAACTTAAGAGACGGCTTTTTCATATCAATTATTTTACATAAAATCATATTTCAAACCATAAATAATGTTCGACAGCCAAATAAAAGAAACAATACCAATACAGGCTTACAGTTTAAGGCTCGACATTGTGTTGTCTACGATTAGACAGCTGATAACTCATTCCCGTACGTCGTAACTCTATAATGACCTTTGCTTATTGTCACATGTGCGCCGCATTCGCGATTGTTGCCGACGCCTGTTTGCAGCTCAGCCCACTACAGTTGTTATACATATCGAAAAACCGATAAACTTTTAAGCGAAAAAGGCACTATTCCAGGCCCATTTTTGATTTTTTTTTGCGATATTAGGTAAAAACAGAAGCTTCTTATCCTAGGAAAAATAAAATGGGAAATCTTTCAAAGGTGGCACACTACCTTTAAATTGAGCGAAGCCGAAACAATATTGCTCACGCCGAACTTTAAAGCACCCGACCAATAATGTGCACTATGTCTTACAGGGTGTCTCATAAGTTCGTTCTCACATTATATTTGCATGTGAAACAGAGTACCTACATTGCGTCTTGATATATTTGTGACCCCTCAATGTGCTCCCCATTTAATAGGCAAACACATGAACACATGCCAACCGGCATGTTTGGCTGCATAGCAGGCTTAAAGTTAATCCAGACTGACTTGACACGCGTCGTGAGCTCCTCGAGGCTGGAACAGCGCTACGCTTCGACGAGCCTAATTTTCAGCATAACCAACAAATTTTTATGAAATTTTGATCCGATGAGGTGCCTGGCATGTGGTCTTGCCACATGCCAGGCACAAACGCCTGTCACAGTCTCCTTGCACCGCTTTTAAGCTTTGCTTGACCTGTGCACTGATGCACTGTCTTGCCTGAAGATGGGCCTACGACCTCTCGGATGCCATTTTCTCCTCTATAAATGTGTTCATACTCGCGGTTCGAGTTCAGCTTGAGGGTTGAAACTCCTCCTAGATGTTCTCGGAAAAGCATTATGCTTCCCAAAGCTGTTTCTGGGACACCAATCGCAACCTGGTCAGCGTCTGGACGCCTATAACCCCACAATACCGTGACCTTGGCCTTTCGCATAGGAACATAACGGGACGAAACGGAGGCCTCCTCCTTCGCCCTTATGGGGTTGTTTTCGGGTTTGGACGGGTGTTTCATCTCGAACGTGGATTAGTTAGTCCAGATGACCTGGTTGATGTCCTCAGCCCTTTAGTATTTTTAGCCTCAGGCATAACGAAACTCATGTTTGGCCATTTTAAGACGTTTTTGACTGTTTTGAGCCCTCCGGTAAGCAAAGCTTAAGTCACCTTGAGTTATGTACCCCGAAAGGACACTCTTAGACAGCTGGTAATCCATCCTGAAAAGTCTGCTTACCAACTTTCTAACCCTTTGACCTTTTTGAAGGCCACTTTGGCGCCACACAGTTTTGGCCACATGGCTCACTCCTGAGAGCTGACAAAAAAAGAGGATAAACTTGCAATGATTGACTCCCGACAAATCATCGGTGTCACTTGCTGACTGTGCGTCCAGTTAGCGATGGACATTGTCTACAGACTGGTAGGCCTCAATCACCCTCAATCGTCGCGAATGGTCACGTGCTGACTAAATACCGAGACGTACCCGTATTGGAGACCTCTATGTTGTGGCGTTAGCCGTCTGTGTAGGAAACGGGCTCTCTAGCAAAAACTATTTTGTCTACAGAAATTAGTTATTGTGGAGCATATTTCTACCAGCCATGGCAACCACGTAAGCCCAGTAACGAACCGATTTCAGCGTGCCTTTAAGCAAGAGAGCCTAAAAACGTAAAATTGAGGTGAGAACGAACTTATGGGACACACTGTACATGTTTGAAGCCATATGAAACATCAAATACCCTCTACCTTTTGCATCTGCAAGAACAGTGTAGCTGGCTATGTGACTTTTTTGCGTCGCTGACTGTCTACGAATGTCATTGGAGGCTCAGGTAGCGTGGGGTGTCCAAAAAAATGTTATTGCTTATTAATGCAATGCCGGATTTACTGAACAGTGCCTAAATTACATGAAGCACCCCGGAATTGAAACGACCTGACGAATAATGTGCAGTGTGCACTATGTCTCATATGCCTGAATTTGGGCCAGTTTTACCTGCACTAGGGCGGAATGACTGTACTATGACGAATATCGTGCCGCGATTCAATATACGAATGCACTATGCCGTACCTACTGTCGAATTGGGGGGGGGGGGGTTGGGCGCCCGGACTACAGTGGTCATCGGCGCACCCCGTACTGTCGAAATCGCCTGCTCTATTACTGAAATATGTGCACTGCCGCCTGAATTGGGCGTAAAAAGGTGCAGAACTTGTGTTTGTGTCTGCCTCATGGTTACTGCACCAGAAATCAGTCTCGAATCGGTCTCGGTCTCTGTGTGGGTGTCGATGTCGGTGTCACACTGTCGTCTCGTCCCACACCATTGTCTCGGACCCAGGAGTTTGTCTCGGTTCCATTATGTGTCAGTTTTTGTTGTGGTGCTGGCCAGGCCTGGCCCTTCGCCAAAACGTAGGACACTCACCACGAACTAACAGTTCACCCACCGACCGCCAGGTGACCTCAAACTGGACCCAGAGGGCGTCGGCAGTGCCTGGAAGGACTTCAACATCACCACTGTCGACAAACAGGTCATCGACGAGAGCGACCTCATCATGAGCTTCATCAACCACGGCAGCAAGCTGTTCAAGGAGCTGGACCTGCCGCGGAGCCAGCTGCTCTGGTCAGTCTGTCGGCGGGTCAATACCTACCCTTAGAAAACAAATCAGCCGTTCCAGAACGGCTGCTCAGTGCACAGCGTTGTTCCACTTCAGTATCAATTTGAACCTGAGGGCATCCCGTTATATCCTCAGGACCAACCATCTTACGATGGTTTGGGATTATACGGCGTTCAGAACTCAGCGCAGGCATTATCTAACGCTTAGGTACACCAAAATCATACGCTCAGCCCATCGATCGGATGCACGATTCTACCATCATTCGATTCTACAGTCCTTCTGAATCACTTTCAAGTTTCAAGCATATGAATTTCGATGCACAAAAGTGGCATTTCATGTGTACGGTGCGCGTTTTTTTAAACGAACGACCCCTCAAGCCCTCCGTGTGACCTGACCGCAGCTTGTCTTTGCCGATGCGTCCCCAGGTTCGACCTAACCGAGGTACCGATGGACGAGAACCAACTGGACACCAGTTTGCGGGTGTACCAGGGGTACGCCGAGGACGCCCTGTTCGACTACCAGTCGGTGACGCTCAGGATATTCCAGCTGATTGGAGGTCAGCAGACGATTGTCGTCGTCGTCGTCGTCTTTTTTGTTGTTGTTGTCTTTGTTGTTGTTGTCGTTGTTGCTGTTGTCGTCGTCGTCGTCGTCGTCGTCTTTTTTGTTGTTGTTGTCGCTGTCTTTGTTGCTGTTGCTACTGCTGCTGTTGTGTTGCATGCGTTGCTCTTCACTCTAACTCTTAACTCTTCACTTCACTCTTTAGTCTTCACTCACTCCTAGTTGATGGCATGTAGACGTGGAACCGGTTGCATAAAATAAACAAGTGTCAGGTGAACAACTGAAGGAAGGGCAAAATGCCCGACCCGTCCAGTGGCATTGACTATTTATATAGTAGCAGTCGGTACGTTCCGAGGATGCGGAAGGGTGCTAGTGTCTTGGCCGGTATTCGCTGGGTTAGCGACATAGCACCTGGCGAGTGTGGGCTGCACGATACTCATCATCCTATATCACCATTTTTCAAAGACTCGAGCTTATGTTCAACAAAATCTTACCGCTGAAAGTGGAGCTGGCGAAGAATGGTAGGTGGCGGGTCCTTGGCGGGTATCGAGAACCACAGCCAGCAGCTCAATTATTCAGACTTGGTTTCTGATACACAATTCAGAAAAAAATAGCCACTAGGAGACCATTACATTTTTTCTCCAGCATGTACGAAGGTATGTGTCTTTGATTAAAAGAGCACATTTATCCTTGAAGCGAACCGTATTCAAAGGACAAATGTTCTGCCCTGTAAAACGTAATACGAGCATTTGCTTTAGAATTACCTACCGTGCGTCATCCGTTATCATTTCTTATTCTCAGCGTCGTTTCAAAGTGCCTTTGGAATTGTGAACGTTGTACAGTCCACAGCAGAAGTAATGTGGGGTTTCAGTCATGGGTATGTTCTGCTTCTGAAGCTTAGGAACGATTAACCAGACTACAATGAAACTTTGAATGTAGCTTATATGTATCGTCACCGTTGCAGCTGCAACTTCAGCTATTGACATCTTCTTTTCGATCACTCCGCATTAAACAATCGCCAGTCAAAGCCAACCGTTGAGATTGGTAAAACCCTACATTACTTTAGCGGTGGGCTGTACATTACACAAAAGCTCATATAACATTCAGTATGTGCCTTGCAACTTGCCCAATTCTGCCAACACGGTAGTAGACCAAACATGCTGGTAGTTGAGCGCCTTTGACCTTGCTGGCTCTAGTCTATTGACGCACACTTACCAAACAATGGCTAAAATCAACAAAGGACCGAGGACGGAATAATACCGGCACAATTTTAGATGAAAGAATTCCGAATTGCGGTTTCTGATATGACATTTTCTTCTGACGTTACTTTATATGCAGGTACAAATACAACAATTTTTGTTGTTTAATCGCATTGGCTTTTAATCACAAGATACCTTCGGCGACAATTGCAGCTTGCAGCGTTTTTTCCTGACAAAGTGATAGACACATCTGTCTGTCTGGCCTGTTAGGTTCGTATGCGTAAGGCAACATTTTATAAGGCTCTACATTGAGTGCATGTTTGAGGTTGAGGTGTCGATATATTGACTTCTCACCGCGAGGTTTATATTTGGCAGATTTTCTGCCTGTCTGTCTGATTGAATGAGTGACTTCATCCGTCTATCTTCGCTATCTGCCTGTATTTATTTAGTTGAGCATAACCTGAGTATCTACCTTCCACCCAGTATATGTCTGTCTAACGCCGTGTACCTCCGCCCAGGAGAGGGCGAGACGCGCCCGGACGACATTCAGCTGAAGGAGGTGGGCGCCAGGGTGCTGGAGCCCGGCTACGTCGGCTGGCTGACGTTCAACGTGTCCAGCGCCGCAGACCTGTGGCGCATGTTCCCCCACTCCAACCTCGGACTCTTCATGGAGGTCAGTGCGGCAGGCCGATCTTACAAGCACAAATATACACACAAAAAGGAGTGGGAAGCTAGCTTAGGGATAGCTATTCAGTAATTAAATGGACCGCGCTACGACCCCTTCCGACGACAGCAGATCAGTCGTTAGTTGATTGGCAGGACTCGCTGTCCGTTTAGTGCCTGATCCATGGTACGGATTAGCCTCAGGCACAGCCTGAAGCTATAGCACAACCGGGTCTTGGCCAAAAATGGCTCCTCTGAGAAGACACACGGAACCGCCTTAGTCTGAAGCTTGACGCTGACGCCCCTTCAGTGCGCCTCTAAGCAATTGAGTTGAGTGTCAATCAAATAACATGGCAGAAGACGTACAGATGAGAAACAAGATGAGTGGTATTTTTATCGAGTGCTCTTTGTAGCGATCCGGCTAAGGCCGGCTTGTGGCTTTTTCGCGGTGGTATTACCTTTGCGAGAACCACTGGGATCTGTTGGATAATCCTCGATAATGGCGGTGACGACAACACCGCCTGAACTCGGGGAAATTCCAGATGGGCCACGCAGGAGAACGAATTAATGTGCGGGTATTCGAGCATAAAATTCTGAATCTTCCACCAACCATTATTAGACCCTGCCGGCTAACGACCTCAGGGACCTTTAAAAATTAAAATAATTAATTTGACCTCATACCCCCCCCCCCCCCAGACGCTTCGATACCAAATGCAGGTAATATGCAATGTAACAAAATGTACCTACCATAAGTCCCCAACCGAAATATAAAACAAAACGCTATGCTAATAAATGAAACCAAACAATGATAACCAAAGAAACATAAGTGACGATCATCAGGCGATTGTAGCTCCTATTCTGCGTGGTGTCTTGCTTCTACAATCGTCTGTGAACGAAGATGCTTACAGACACTTAAAGCTGCAAAGCCGTCTAGCTTTATGACCTTTGGTAACCTCTGTTGACCCGTGTGTCTCCGGATGATCCCTGAGGACTCTAGCACCTCTCATCTGACCTTTGCTAGCCTCTGGTGACCTAGGTGTCCCCAGGTGATCTCCAAGGGCTCTGACGTGTCTCATCTGACCTCTGTTGACCTCTGGTGACCTCTAGTGACCCATGTGTCCCCAGGTAACCTCAGAGGGCCGTAACGCCTCTCATCTGACCTCTGTTGACCTCTGTTGACCCGGGTGTCTCCAGGTGACCCCGAGGGCCCTGACGTGTCTCATCTGACCTCTGTTGACCCGGGTGTCCCCAGGTGACCTCCGAGGGCGGAGAGCAGCTGGTACCGGGTCAGGTCGGACTGGTGGACGCCTACGGAGAGCAGGCGCGCCAGCCGTTCATGACTGCGTTCTTCAAGCAGCAGCAGTTGAAGCGTCCGCTGCCGCGTCTCTCCCGTTTCAAACGGTCTCCGAATGGGAAACGGTCAGTACTGGGAGCGCCCTTGGGTCGGTCAGATGGTGAAGAAACGGGCTTATTGGTCCATTAACCCTCGCCCGCACATGGGGGGGGGGGGGTGGTTGCCACCCCCACCCCCAGGTAGTCTTTCTGCTCTGCACTCAACATTTTTAGAGCTAGAAGGCTGATTTTTCGTATAGCTGCTCCTCTATCCTTTCTTGATGTCCACTGAAAATTTCAAGTTTCTGTGGTTATTGGTTTCGGAGATATATCTTTTTTGGTCAGCACGTTGGCCCAGCTCGGGCCGTGTATTTGTGACCACACCTGAGTCGAGACTAAACCGACAGCCAAGCACAAAGTGAACAGTCACATATCACGCCACATGGCGCTGCATCCGATTGGTCACCCCTTTGGCGCGAATGCCTCTCATTGGCGGACAGCGATCGGCTGATCGCGCCAGGTCACAGGCCGAGGTCACGTGACGGCGCATCGGCGGGGTTACTACTGGAAGCGATATAACGAACTGAAAAATTACGCCTAGAGAACAAAAGTAATAAAATAGGAAGCCACGGCCTAGGACACCTTCCTTTGTCTAAATTATATCTAACACCTAAATTATCCGTATGCACTGTAAACGGAGCAGTGCCCGCGCACATTAACCCTCGCATGTGTAGGGGGGGGGGGTCGGATGGACCCCCCCCCCATGGTTTTTCGCGAATAACTCGCGTAAAAAGCGGCCGATCGCGACGAAACTTTCAGTACCCTCGCATTGATCAATTTTACACCTACCCTGAAAATTTCATGACCCTGACCCAAATGACCTTTGACCTGTGACCTCTTTTCCGAGACCATGTTTGGCCGGAATCGCGATTTCGCGTATGTCGGCTCGCACTAGCCGCGTGTTTGCAAGCTTCTCGTGGTTTCAAACGTTCAAACATGTGATTTGATGTTACTCCCGTGTGTGTCAAGGTCACCTGAAGGTCAGGTCAGGTCATTGACCTTTGGTGACCTCGGGTGACCTCGGGTCACTTTTTCGTGTTTTACATGTTTCTAGGCTAGTTTTTGGAGCTGAATTCGAATTTAGCAACCATTTGAACATTTACGAAGTAGTTTTGGTGACTTCGTAACATGTTACGAAGCTGTCAGAGGCGGTTGACACGTACTACGAATACCCGTCACGACGCCTACTGGTTGACCTGACCTGACCTGACCCGACCTGGTCTAAATGCTTCAAGACATCATCTGTGATCAAAACTAACACGATATTCGTGATCAGCACCCCGAAAAACCCCTTAGCAGCCACACTTTACGACTTTCTAACAGGTCCCGATTTTCCCGACTTTGGGTCATTGACCTGACCTGGAAGGTCAACCAATGACCTAGGACCTTAAAATTGGGTATCATCGGCTTCCTCTCGTCACGGGCAACACGCTCGTTTTTTCCGCGAAGCTCTAGCTCGATCAGGGGCCAAACGGCAAGGGGGGGGTCCAACCGACCCCCCCCCCCCCCCTACACATTAGAAGCTGGCAAACGCCGCACACATGCGAGGGTTAAATAAACCGCCACCAAAGCCGCTACATATTCCGCAACATAAATCGGAAGGGCGAACCGAAATCTCGCCGAAATTGGGGCGCAGCCCGGGCGCACGATACCAATACAAAACGGAGTGGCGTCGACAAAAACCGAACGGTCATGCGCCTCGGACCACGCACATCGATCTTGCCACCGCCAAACCACATCATCGGCCAAATACGGCACAATGGCAGCGCACGCGGCACAGTCTCCGTCCCTGACCGCCGCCACAACCTCGAGAGGCAGCTTAAATAGAGGCCTTACAAAATTAACATAACCCGCCAGACGATGTCGCACCGTCGACGGCCAAGACGGACAGCACTCAGCTACCGCCGTACGAAGGGGGAGCAAAACATCACGTCGCACACGCGCCGAACTCTCGCGCAAATTCAGCTCAACCCCCAAAAATACAATGCTCGACACCGGTGACAATATAGATTTCTCAAAATTAATGCATAAGCCCACATCCGTCAAAAACCGAACAATACCACCGAGGGATGCAAAGTCCCGAGCAAGAAACAGAAAATCATCTAAATACACAACGCCGCGAACACCAGGAAAACGCTCCTCCACCAGTTTAACAGTGACACAAGAAAAATGCTGCATCTCAGCAGGCGCATGTTTATAACCCATCGGCAATCTCGTAAACAAATATGTATGATTATCATATAATACCCCAAAGTTACGTTGCGTGCTCGGACATAACGGAATATGGTAAAAGCCATCGCGCAAATCATGATTATCTTAATCGCCCATGTACAAAACCCTGAGACGATAAATCTAACGCTCTGTCAATAGAAGGCAAATTGCATGGACGGGCCGACAATAGTGGAGTCAAATCAGACAGATCGTAAACCAAACGCGCAACCGACTCAGATTTCGCAACCGGGAAAAGACGGTAGCAAGCCAGCGGGTTCCCCGGCCGCAAAACCCCCGCAGACACAAACGAATGCACCGCCGCGTCCATCAGCGCAGATCGAGGAGTCGCCCGCCAGATCGGCGGCACCACAGAAGGCACTCGTAACTTGAGGCCTCGAGCCAGAACACTGTGTACCCGATGATGGCGCACGTAATAGTCTGGCCTCACTTGCACCGACACCGGCGGCCGCACTCTGGCCCCACCTCTGGCGAGGTTGGGGACATCGTGCGTTGGCTATGGGCCTTGTGAGCTTTTGACACCTTGATTTCGGCCTTTTTTACCAGTCTTACCTCCCACCTATCATGGAACATGTTGTTCGACGATGTACAGATGGGTCAAGGTCAAGGTCGACCTAGGTCCAGGGGCGGATCCAAGGGGGGGGGGTCACATGGGTCATGGCCCCCCCCCCTTGAGGCCCGGGGGCCCAAAGACGTTCCAGGGGCACCACCGGCCTATCAGGGGTATCACAGTCCTGACAGGGGCACCACAGGACCGCCAGGGGCACCACAGGCCTAGCAGGGACACCACGGGCCTGGTGCCCCTGGGCCCTGACAGGACTGTAACGCCCCTGACAAGCCTGAAGTGTCCCCGGCAGGCACGTGGTGCCCCTGACAGGCCTGAGGCGCCCCTGCAAGGCCGGTGGTGCCCCTGGCAGACCTGTGGTGTCCATGGCAGGCCTGTGGTGCCCTTGCTAGGCCTCTGGTGCCCCTGACAGGCTTGTAATGCCCCTGGAAGGACTGTGGTGCCCCTGGGCCCTGACTAGCCTGAGGTGCCCCTGACAGGCCAGAGGTGCCCTTGCTAGGCCTGTGGTGCCCCTGGCAGGCCTCTGGTGCCCCTGACAGGCTTGCGGTGCCCTTGGAAGGACTGTGGTGTCCCTGGGCCCTGACAAGCCTGAGGTGCCCCTGACAGGCCCGTGGTGCCCTTGTTAGGCCGCTGGTGCCCCTGGCAGGCCTCTGGTGCCCCTGCGCCCGGAGAGGACTGGTGCCCCTGAAAAGTCTGAAGTGCCCCTCGGCAGGCCCGTCGTGCCCCTGACAGGCCCAAGGTGCCCCTGCGAGGCCGGTGGTGCCCATGGCAGGCCTCTGGTGCCCCTGGCAGGTCTGTGGTGCCCCTGGCAGGTCTGTGGCGCCCCTGGCAGACCTGTGTTGACTGGTGCCCCTGCTAGGTCGCTGGTGCCCCTCACAGACCTGTGGTGCCCCTGGGCCTTGACAAGCCTGAGATGCCTGGCTATGACAGGCTCGTGGTGCCCCTGATAGACCAGTGGTGCCCTTGCTAGGCCTGTAGTGCCCCTGGCAGGCCTCTGGTGCCCCTGCTACCCCTGCGCCCTGAGAGGACTATGGTGCCCCTGAAAAGCCTGAAGTGCCTCTCGACAGGCCCGTGGTGCCCCTGGGCCCTGACAGGCCCAAGTTACCCCTGCGAGGTCGGTGGTGCTCCTGGCAGGCCTCTGGTGCCCCTGGCAGGTCTGTGGTGCCCCTGGCAGGCCTGTGTTGACTGGTGCCCCTGCTAGGCCGCTGGTGCCCCTCACAGGCCTGCGGTGCCCCTGGAAGGACTGTGGTGCCCCTGCCCCTAGGGGTGCTCATGGGCCCAACAGGCCCGTTGTGCCCCTGACAGGCCTGTCGTGTATACTTGCTAGACCTGTGGTGCCCCTGCGGGCCTGTGGCGCCCCTACAAGGCCGTAGGTGCCCCTGACAGGTTTGTGGTGTCCCTGGAAGGACTTTGGTGCCCCTGACAAGCCTGAAGTGTCAAGGACAGACCCTTTAGACGCCAGGGTCAAGTTCGTCGGACTGACAACGATTTGCTTACCTGATAACGTTCCTGGTAAGTACTCATTACTCAGCGTCCACAACATATATACACATAGCACATTCATATATACTTGCTTACAATTGGTAAATGTGGTTGTGGCTAAGAGGTAAGATACTGACTAAAAATAAAAAATAAAAAAACTGAAAATGGGGGCACCACCAAAATGAAGTGGACGAAATCCGTTGAGTTTTTAATTTTGGGTATAGGTAGGGGCACCACTTCGATTCATGACCCTCCCCTTGGAGTTTTCCTGGATCCGCCCCTGCCTAGGTCATCTAAGATAATTGCGTTTTAGGCAAGCGGAATTTACTTTTTGTGAAGTTTTTTGACTGCATTTTTGGTAAAAGCTTCTCAGATCATGATTTCATGTAATATGGACACATAAACAATCGGTACTGCACACATCAATATACACACAGACACACACAGACATACAAACACATATAATTGACCTTGACCTAACTTGACCTGAAATGACCTCAGCAGCAAAAACCTGGTCGGGTAGTGTGACAAAGAGGTTCTAGCTGGCTTGGCACCAAAAAACGGCATCGTCATCGGTAAATGATAAGCAGCGCACTTGATGTCCAACGATGACCCAAAACAGCAACATTTTTTTAGTTTGACCTGACCTGGAAGGTCAATGACTGACCTGAGAAGGTAAAACTGGGTATCATTGGATTCGTCTCTTCCCAAAGAATCTTTTTGGTCTTTACCGCTAAGCTCTATCTCCAACAGGAACGAAATGGCGCGGGGGGTGGCAACCCCCCCCCCCCCCCCATGTGCGTTCTAGGATGGGAAAATGGCATGTGCGGGCGAGGGTTAAAGGGACCCTCCCACCTTCAAAAAAGTTTATGAATTGGCATGAAATTGATGTCGCTCGGTCCAGAAAGAGCGAAGACGAATACCTACCAAATCTCACCGAAAAATATTCACCGGTTTTCAAGATATTAGACTTTTACTTTTGTTTACTGTTTGGGATCTCCGCTGTTCCTAGCGACTTTATTTGGAAGCAATAGTTTGGCAGCTGAAAGTGCGGCACTTGTTGCACGCAAAGCAGCATATACCACCGCGTGCTACAAAACGTTTTAGTCAAACATTTAAAAATCGTTAGATATCTGCGCTGACGTCACACATTCAGAGGGGTATTCCTATGCATTAGCCCCTCTGAATCAAAATGCTGCAATTTTGAAATTCAATATTTCCGATTTAAGGCATTTCTCGATGTTGTGAGTGCCGAAACCGGTAGTTGTGAGCCAGGGACCCCATTTTGGCTATCTCAACTCAAATCTTATACCTATTAAGGTGGGAGGGTCCCTTTAACACTCGTCAGGCCAGTCCCTTTTCAATAATGCGACCGGCCAGGATTGACCAGCTCAGGTATGGCCAGTACGTTGGTATGATTAGTGAAGCAGTCGGCACGCCCAAAGCCCCAATAAACAAACAATGCATCAACCCCCGTCTGCGGTCTTTCAGGGGCAAGAAGAAGCGCAATCGCAGCAACTCCCAGACGAGTTCGTCCAGTCTGAAGGACTACATACAGAAACAGGAGTTCAGCGTCTGCCAGAAACGCAACCTGTACGTCAGCTTCCGGGACCTCGGCTGGCAGGACTGGATCATTGCACCCGACGGGTAAGTGGTATTGGTTGGCTATGAAAGTTTATTTTACATATTCACATGCATCCTAATCTTTATCAGAAAACATTTTAGCGAGTCAATACATCGGAGTTCTTGCTAAGAAAAAAATGTCGCTGAAGCCTAACATTCTTATTACGGAGCGAGCGAAGCGAGCGTAGTCTTTCCTTAGATTAACGGAAATTTCTGAGTATGAGCGGCCGGCCGGCCGTGCGGACGCTTTTGCGAGGCTTATATCTCAGCAACCACTTGACCGATTTACATGCGGTAATTTTTGTAGGGTAGCTTCATTCCTTCTACCAAGTACTGGACTATTCCCGATGCATGTGGGTGACCCCTTATGCAGTATGCACGTGCCACGTGCAAAACGAAGAGGTGTCACTTTTGTAATTGTTGCAATATCTCGGTAACTACATGGCCGATTGCGCTCAAAGTTGGCATGTAGGTAGGCACCCACTAGGCACTGCATATCCATGTGCCAGAGTTGGGGTGCTGCTGCACGTGCGCACGTGCAGGGGTCGTTTCCAGATCTCGAGAACGGCTGGACCGATGGTGCTCAAATTTGGTACACGGTTAGGGACCAGTTAGTGGGGTGCCGTGCACAAGTCAGTTGGGACCCATTTTGCACGTGCGCACGTGCAGGGTGCCGCTTCCAGATCTCGAGAACGGCTGGGCCGATTGTGCTCAAATTTGACATATTGCTAGAGACCGGTTAGTAGGGTGCCGTGCTCAATTCAGTTGGAGGTACCCCTCGAAATTTCGCACGTGCAAGGCCCACCCTCTCGCTCGCTCCGTTAGTCGCCCCAAAAGGCGTTATACTGGTTACTATTGCGCGTTGAGCTTGTCAAAGTAAAAATTATCAGTAGGGCTAAACGGATACGGGCTGTATGCATGATCTGCTCTTCCATACCTAGGCAGTTTAAGCGTGCTAGTAATTTTAATTAGCGTTCATGTTACTGGACTACTTACATACGAAGTCAGGGGTAAACCTTGTTGCCGTGCGTTTAGCCGCTATAATTTCTCATCCGGCGAAACTTGTAGTCTAATGAAAGTCCTGAGGCACTGTGGATACCTGAGATTATCACCATGTCGTCGGTATTTAATTACGCTGTGGACCTCCCGGTCTGCGACCTTCAGGCAACACATCCACTGCATTCTCAATAGCAAGACACGTGACAAAGGTCGCCTTCTGCGACGCTGACTATCGCACGACTCCGTCGCCGTTCGTTACAGAATACGCATCAATGACACGCGACATCAACACCGGAAACCTGCGCTAGACTACTCATGCTTTCTACTTATCATACAAATGTCATGTCCGCTTCCGACTGCCCTGTGACGATGTATCATCTGGCTTGACATTTCGCCTGACCTCTGAGGCAGTCCCGTCTGGTCCCGTCCTCACTCACCAGTCTTTGATCTCGCACGACGTCTTAGCCAGAAGTACCACCCTGGAGCAGTAATTGCTCAGCCCTACCCCACCTGGGTGCTCAGTGCCAGCGAGTTTGTCCCCAGCTGACCTATCACTGACCTTTCCACCGACACAGACAGTGACAATGTCACGGCACACTGGACTTGTCCGGAACACAGTGGTGCACAAATTTATGGAGAACGCCGCTCACATGAGATGTCACTTCACCCTCAACATACCACAACATACCAGACTTTAACCTCAGATCACCTCAGCTTGTGTGCATTCACTATACCTCACCCCACCTAAAGTCACCTCACATCACCCTGACCGCACTTACGCTGTCCGCAGGTACGCCGCCTTCTTCTGCATGGGCATCTGCTCGTTCCCCATCAACTCCCAGATGAACGCCACAAACCACGCCATCGTGCAGACGCTGACGCACCTGCTGGAGCCCTTCCTCTACCCCAAGCCGTCGTGCGCGCCCACCAAGCTCAACAGCATCAGCGTCCTCTACTTCGACGACAAGCAGAACGTCAACCTGCGCAAGTACAGCAAGATGGTGGCCACCAGCTGTGGATGTCACTGAGGCTGAGACAGACGGAGAGCGTGTGGAAGAGTCTGTCGAAGTCGCAGCGACCACCGCGCTGGGACCGACGCTGGGGCCGGGCTTGGGTAGCCCGCAAGGTGTCTTGGGAGGTATGAGGTGGGCTCGAGGGGTGTGGATCGGATTGATCAAAAGGATGGCCCGCTCGCCGGCCCGATTCGACTCAGCGGCCAAATATGGCAGAAGGACAAGGATGAAAGAAGCTGGTAGCGGAAGCGATGGCCACTGGACTTCGGGGAAGTGGCTAGGTTGCGCCCATTCAGTAGCCATAGGAGAGAGATATTGGGCGATTGAGAGCATTGAGATCAAATGTGGCCATTCTGTGTTACTCTGGCGTGCGTCGCCTTATCGTTCTGCCGGCGATTGGGTGCTATGTTAGGTGTGCGCCGTCCGTTTGTAGTGCCACGTGCGTGAAATGCACGAGACGGCAGTCTATTCAGCTGTGCCATGTGACCTTTAGTGTGACCTCTGACAATCGTGGTAGAATACCGTGAAAAGATGGCACACTCGATCGGATGATGTGTGAACAGCATCCGCCCCGAAGCTAAACTAATGTTAGTTCATAGTTAGCAACAAGATGCAGTAGTCTCGGTACGGAAACGCCATATTGGATGACGCTTTTATCAATATTTTAAACGATTAAGTGGAAATTACTGTTCTTTACCATACGCGATGAGGTGCAGGATTCGTCAATTTGCTCTATTTTAACCATTTTCACTGTCAATGTATTTTACAGGTGGCAGTTTCATATTGTGGCCAACTGCTAAGCGATTGTAAAATGTGCTTGCAAGTGTATGTGACGGACCCGGCGTATGCAGATTGTCGTCGCTGAAGATAGACTTACCTATGGTATGTGACAGTGAAAATGTGTGCTGCTATCCTGCAATATGTCCGAAGCACTGCTGCATACGGTCCCAGTGACGCTATGGACCAGAGGCCTACCAATCCAGTTACGCTAGGAGAGCGAACGTGCCGTGGTGATCAAAACGCCACAAAGCGAAGTGGCGTTTTCGTGACGACTGTTGCCGGTGTTGCGATGAAAATAAATGTCCTGTTTGACGTACGACTACGTGTTATATATTTTCTTCTTGTCAAATGTCGAGTGTATACTGCATATTCCTCGTGTCCTAAGCAAAATAGAAGGCTGTATATAACTAAATTCAAACTTCGGGCATATGTAAGCAATCCACAACGTCATTGGTCAATGCTGGTTGCCAACCGACACAGTCGGACAGGACCAATGTCTGACCTGACGCTAAACCGAAGACCCGGTCGGTCTCGTCTCTCATCCAGCACCAGGGCCCTGTTTCACCGGTGATAGCAGCACGCCACTATCAAATTGCGCGAGCTGACGTAATGTGATGACGTCATACTGCTGACGTAAGGGATAATTCTGGCGCACGATTGCCGCAATATTGTTTTACGTCATCAACTAAATGTTCGAAGTTTACGTCCAAATTTTCCTTAAAACCAACTTTTTTTTAAATACATCATATTAAAAAATATATATTGTAAATAAATATACTATCATGACTGCATAAACTCTTACTTTTAAAGGCTCATACGTCACTTAATGCCGCAGCCAAGGTCGCGGCAATCGTGCGCCGGAACTGCCCATCACGTCAACAGTATGGCGTCATGACATGACGTCAGTTCGCGAAACGTGATAGCAGCGTGCTGCTATCAGCGGTGAAACAGGGCCCAGGGCCCCAGCACTACCCCCGGAGGGGAGGGGAGGGGAAGGTCAGCCGCACCCGCAGACGGCTCGGCGCCGGGCGGGGAGGGATGGGGGGGGGCATAAGCCGCACCTTCCTCCGAGCGCACCTGGTGATGCGCCCCGCTGACGAGTTGGTCGGCTCTTATTTTGGCGAGCGTGAGGAAAATCAGCACGCGATGGATTGGAATGAGCGACGGTCGGGGCCACGTGGCGGGAGGGATGCTGCTATGTCCTCTGGCATCAATAGGCATCGTAGCCAGTTTGTTGGGAAAAAGAAAACATGAACTATCAGCAACCGGATAATGCCTTTACTGAAGACACTGACTAATTGTCAGGGCTTTCAGTTTCTAGCACTGGTTTCACTCGGATCAGATCACCATTGAAAAATATACTAGAATGGAATATCAGCATTTGGGGCCGCACTCCGAGTCCCGTGAGAACCAAGGCCCTGTTGCGGATCCAGAAACGCAAAAACACTCCAAAACATAACAAACTTCGTAAGTCGATGAGGAATCATACATGACCTTGGTTACCTTCATGAAGCCTCATCAAATTATATTTATTATCAGTGTATTTTTGCATCAATCATCATTGTTTTCTAAGAGCCCGTGGTGAGTAAAATTGACCAGTCTCAGAACAAACAACGCCGATAATGAGCCTTATTAATTTTTACTCCTCCCCAATAAACAGTGGTCAAGAAACGATGGTGTAGTCTTACCTGCTTAAAAAGGGGCAGCGAAAAGTGGCATCATCTTCACCGAAACACTACCGTCCGACAGCTTTTTAACCCACCTATTGTTCCCACGGTACCTCGGTATCTCATCAAGAGGAAAGGGCATACCTAACCCACTCGCTTTGCGTCATCGCCCGCGATAGAAGCGATGTGATACCGTTTGACCTATCAAGAAAGGTGATTATAGCCCTTATCCGGAATTAATCTATGCCATAGTACACGGTAAATTAGCGCGGAACGTCGGCACTCACGTGTTTGGCCACGAGTTTCCGATCCGCTGAGCTTTGCGTTAGAAGAAAGGCTGACCAAAGCCCGTGACTTCCGGCTGGTGTATTCGCGAGTGCGGGCTATCCTTTTGTACAGCGAACGAGGTTTTACGGTGACCTATCTGAAGCCTTCAAAACATTACGTGTGTAACACCTCCGAATAAATGGGTCAGGAGGCGACAGGACCAGACAAATTGGATAACTGCAAAGGCGATTTCTCAGAATACTCAACGAGCAGTGACCGGGATGAATAAAGGCTCACAGAATGGTTCGCCAGCGACAAAGCGATATGAGCGTCCCGGTTCCTAGTATGTAGGTATGTTATGTAGGTACCTACAGTTGTACAGGTCCGGTCACCTTTTCATAGTGGGGCTAGTTACCTGAGGAACACGGCAAAGCAAAACATCGAACAAGGACCTGCGCGGCCACTATTGATGAAATTCGCGTGTACATACGCAGAAACACAATCAGTGATGGTAAGCAGAATTGGCGTCTACCGACTTCGTTCACTAAAACAGCTGTAATGCAAATAACCTTGCTATCCTCACAGTCTCATTTAAAAGTTCATTACAGTCTTGATACCAGTCACTGCTCACTGAACAGTGCACTGGATGTGGATAGGCTCCATCATTGGATCAGTATTCAGTGTTGAGGACAGACTGTTGGGACAGGTTGGGAGCTGTTGGGACAGACAAATATTTTCCAAAAATGGCACGTATGATTAAACATTACTGTTCTAAAATTACTTTTTCTTTTTATAAGTGAACACCACAGAACTCGAATGTAGACACAGCTTTGTATTTTTAGCCGAATGGGGAGCGAATACCAACATTTTACACTTCAGCACCCCATACGCTCCACAATCTTTCTCACACACACTTCGGGGATAAAAGATACAACAAATTCTTAGGACCTATGTCTGCAGCCCAGGCCACATTTATCAGGCGAGCCAGACCGTGCTGAAGTTACAACACAACCATGTTTCGCGGACAGAATCACCCAAACGCACTGCGGGAAGCCGCGCACCAGCAACTATTCACCTGCCACCTAGCGGCAGATTCATCAACCACACGTTACACATTCGCCACCGGGCGGCGCCAGCGGGCTCACCGAAGTAATGACGCGTCCGTGTGTTTGACAGCCATAGAATTATGGATGGAGAGTGCACGGAGGAGCCGCTCCTGTACTCTTTCCACAGCAGCAACCGTGAGAACCAGTGTATCGTGCTTCAGCATCGTAAACACATTCAGACCTGTTGAGAAAGCCGATCGTCAGAACCAGACAACCTATGATCCGCGGACTTCCGGACAACGAACTGCCGTCGAATAAGAATTTCCAACAATAAACTGGGTGTCGTCTCATATGATGTAGCTCAACGATTGCTGGATTATCGATATCGAGCAGACGGGGAAAAGAAGAAATCACCACCTCTGAGACAACGCTCAAACCTGGTTGCCGAGACCCATGGCTGTTAATGTCCCATCCCCAGTTCTAAATCGATTATTGTTCCACCCTTAGACGCCACATAGCACCTCTCATTAACATTTATAACCCATTCTCCAAACTAAATCCAGAAAACTAGCGGAATAAGCAAGCAAAGTCCTTTCTCATCCCGGCAAATAGCCTTCATCTTAATTACACCTTCTGGGTGTTCGTGCCAAATGATAGCAATTTGTATGCTGATTGCAATGACAATTACATTTTACGTTATAAACCCACTTATAAACCTGACGAAAGCATACTTATTCCATGATAAAGATGGCTATAATTAAGGCTTTTTGGCGCTCGGACTGCAGAAGTGATCGCGATTCGCGATTCGGAATCCAATAACTTCGCAAGTTAGTTATTTTATCTTATATTATTTTATTCTTATTTTTATTATTTGTTTTTTAGTATGCGTGTGTGGGACCACCAACCGCGCACCATGGGCGCTGGACAGTCCGATGATTGCCGCCGACTCCCACACCCTTGTCTTATGAGTTTTGTAACGATACGAGACAGTCGGGAATAGCCTTCACATTGCGGAGGCATTAGAATGTGCTGGGCGAAATATTGGCCGACAACAGAGGGCGGTAACAATATTATCTAGCACGTCCACGACACGCTTCATAAAGCAATGAAGCCAACGCGGAACATTTGTCTACAGATAATACGAAATTCGGCATCGACCAATCCTTGAGAATTGGAAGCCAATGAGCTCCAAGTTCATATTTTCTTATAAATGCCGAGGCGACTGAGCCCCTCCAATCTCCATCTATGAGCATCATCTGAGCAGCGCTGTGCTTGGACAGTCTTCAGAATTTAAATCAATAATTTTGATTTCACATGTGAAAGATAAACGGATTGCCGGGTAGCGAATGAGTTTTATCACTGAATAATTATTATTTCATATATATAGAAAGGGTGATGAATTATCATTTTCACAGCCGAAGGGACAATGTCTTTTTGGATACCTACTATAAATAATCGCTGTCTGCCATCGCTCGTCGTGTGCCCATTTCCTAGGACTGTGGCGGGGAGACTGGATGATCCTCGAGAGCTCTCACCAGTCGCCATAGGACGGTGAGAATGGGGACACTCACCATACACAGGAAGGGCTACTCACCATACACAGGTAGGAGGTTGTAGTGTGGCACCTGGTCGGCGGCTCTCACCAGATTTTCCGGCATCTCGTCAGTGCTGAAACACACAAATATAACAAAGGCCGGTCAATTACGGGCATTTATCGTAAGTGACAGCGAGTTTCATCGTCATGGATGATGGAACGCCAGGAAGTGACAACTGACAGGGTAGCCACAGACGGTGAAACAAAATCACGAAACAAGACATCAGCGTCAGCGTCTTCTAGATCTCAGGTCAGTGTGATTCGGGCCACAGCAAGTCGCAGACAGAAGAAGGAAGGGCGTGATGATAACTCACAGAATCACGAATAGTCACGGACAGTCACGGTAAGTAATAAACAGTCAACAAAAGTAGCGAACGTCGGCAGAAAGTCCATACGTGGCAATCATTGAAACATTTATTATGCATTCACACAGAAAACTACGCCAAATATGTACGTACATGCTAACAAACATCAATGCCTACCAGACCAGTTTTCGACGAGATAAAAAAAGGGTAGAGAACGAGCTTTCAATAAGTGTCACATACTTCGTGAAAACTTTCAAGGCAACAGTGCTTTCACGCCTAGAAGACGCTGACCGCATTACATGTAGGATTTTGTAGAAAGAGCGTTCTTGTTTTATTAAGAAAATAAAATACGGTAGACGGCAGTAATTCCCTACGACCGAGATCAAATACGCGTGAATCTGGTTTTTCTGAAGTTGGCTCTGTCACTTCAAAGTTCCGTGCCTTAACCCTCGCCCGCACATGGGGGGGGGGGGGGGTGGTTGCCACACCCCCCCCCAGGCAGTCTTTCTGCTCTGCACTCCACATTTTTAAAGCTAGACGGCTGATTTTTCGTATAGCTGCTCGTCTATCCTTTCTTGATGTCCACTGAAAATTTCAAGTTTCTGTGATTTTTGGTTTCGGAGATATGACCTTGTTTTTCAGGTCATGTCATGACCCAAATGGCCAATTCTCAACATTTTGCGTTTGCCATGGGCCTTGTGAGCTTTTGACACCCTGATTTCGGCCTTTTTTGCCAGTCTTACCTCCCACCTATCATGGAACATGTTGTTCGACGATGTACAGGGGTCAAGGTCAGGGTCAAGGTCAACCTAGGTCATCTAAGATAATTGCGTTTTAGGCAAGCTGAATTTACTTTTTGTGAAGTTTTTTGACTGCATTTTTGGTAAAAGCTTCTCAGATCATGATTTCATGTGATATGGACCCAAAAACAATCGGTGCACACATCAGTATACACACAGACACACACAGACATACAAACACATATAATTGACCTTGACCTAACTTGACCTGAAATGACCTCAGCAGCAAAATTCTGGTCGGATAGTGTGACAAAGAGGTTCTAGCTGGCTTGGCACCAGAAAACAGCATCGTCATCGGTATTTGATAAGCAGCGCACTTGATATCCAACGGTGACCCAAAACAGCAACATTTTTTAGTTTGACCTGACCTGGAAGGTCAATGACTGACCTGAGAAGGTAAAACTGGGTATCATTGGATTCGTCTCTTCCCAAAGAATCTTTTTGGTCTTTACTGCTAAGCTCTATCTCCAACAGGAACGAAATGGCGCGGGGGGGTGGCAACCACCCCCCCCCCCCCATGTGCGTTCTAGGATGGGAAAATGGCATGTGCGGGCGAGGGTTAATATCATAAAGCATAGGTAAAAATTAAAAAAAGCATAGGTACCATTAGCTGCCCACTCAACAACAACAAAATGGCACAAGTGAAATAAATATAAAAATAGGCTGTTGAAAACAATCATTAGAAAGGCCACTTAAGCCAGGGTGTGTGCCACACTGCCTACGGTAAACGTTCACTGATTTCTATGTGCAGCTGTGCTGGTATGGCTGGTGACCGCTCAATGACAAAATAACCAGCCATCATCTGCCTACCGCTACAAAAACACTACTTAGGTATCCGCTGCGTTAAGGGCAGACCTATAACATCGTTCCGGATAAGCGTACCAAAAATCGAGATATCAATGCACATTGCACATTGTGAATACCATTCTGTACAGTGTACACTGTACAGTCGCCTCGCAAGTCGCAACCAGTCTGACGTTTGGTCAGGACCTTGGAGAAAACAATGGGATGTCAGCCGGCATACCAATGATTAAAGTGGGAATGCAGCACGGTGTTGCCACGAAAATTTCGCATTGGGATTGAACACCGGGCTGGTCTTGTCTGAATTCAAAGCCGCCAAAAAATGAGCCTTCAAGCGCAATGCGAAATCAAAGGGATCATCAGCAGAATCTACGTCTACTTACAACTTTCAATGCAGCCGTCCCAAGCGCCGGGACCCCAGGGCTCAGTTCCAGCGCATGGCGCATGGCGCTACCTGACACCGTATTGGCGCTGGGTTTCTATGGAGGCGTAAGCAAAAATGGCCAATTCTGCTTACATTTCTGTGAAAACCGAGCGCCAATGCCGGTAGTGTCATGTAGCGTCAATACGCTGAAACAGACAGGGGCCGGGCAACGGCCAATGCTCGGGGCGGCCTACGACCAAACTTTCGTCAGCCCGAATGGTCAAGAGCCACGCGAGGCACTTGCTAGTACTAGTTTGTCCCAGTGCTACTTGTTCTGGTGCCCCATCTGCCAGTTCAGTCCCATGCGTGCCCTGACTCCTCAGAAGCGAGTGCTGTAGTGAGCGTCACGTTTGCAGCTGAAACCTTGTCACAACGCGATACGGGCAACGGAAGTTCCACCGCGGCTCCTGCCAGCACTGCCTGTCCCCGACCAAACTTATCCGATCGAAGAGGACCTGTCCCAACGGAACAGCAGGAACTGGGACAGATGCCAGCGACAAACCGACGTACTCGTCCACCCATAATACGACTAGGAGGTCACCCAAAACCAGCCCGGAGGTCGTCAATATGGCAACAGGCTTCTGCTTGATCGAGTAAATGCATAAAGCATACCCCCGTTTTTCGTAATTAGGCTGTCTGGTTGCATTATTTCGAAAACCGAACGAAAAAAAGCAGAACAATAATGCAACAACCTCAATTGAGTAGGTAACAGATTTTTCTACGTTAATCAAGAAACGGTCGAATAAAATCTACCATAGAATAACGAATAAGTAGTCGACACCTTCAAGGCAAGTTGGCATCCATAAATTAGGGCAAATCAAACATTAAATCAGCGCACTACCGAAAGAGCAATAACAGCATAGCCGTGCAAAAACAGAGGATCTTGGTTGTTGACTTCATTAGTTGATGGAACCTAATACAACATACCAGCGACAACGACCTTCACCTGGCAACAGACGGTCTACTAAAATTATTTCATACGTCACAGGAACAAGTTCAAAAGCTTCAAATCTAATCAGAGACCTATAGTTGTCTCCGATACAATACCAAGAACAGGGGCCTTGCTACTGTGCAATCACTAACTGTGGCACTGAGGTGCACTGAGGAATTGGCGAACTGTTACAAAGAGTGGTCTGCGATCAAACAGCTATTCCAGTGCAGAGAACCCCGGGGGAGCCGTAAAGATCCCCAGCGTTGCCCGCTGAGGAGCGGAGTACTTTATTCGGGCGACTCACGTCACAATTCATCTTATCAGCATCCGGACAAAGGTAAATAAAAAAATAAACTGATGACATTTGCGAAGTGCTCCTGGAAAACATAAACGTCGTCGGTTCAACGGCACACAACGATCAAAGGGGATCTGAGCCAGACGCTACATCCAAATTCGAACCTAAAAAATATAGCAAAATGTACGTTTCAAGTCCCATATAAAATAAACAAGTACGCCAATTAAATAATAGGAGATCTGAATGAGGCCTCTATTTGACAGACCTAAATCGGGTTTCAGCAAATTTACATTGTTGAATACCTTCATGAAGCTTCATTTGTTCCTTCAGTATATTTAGAAAGGAATGAAAAAATAATTTTCGGTGAGCCAGGCCAAATTAGACCAAAAGTTTAAAAAATGCATGGAAAGTGCATAATAAAGCAGCCGTGACACTTCTGGAAACAATGAGCAGATGTTGAGTCTCTCATAATAGTAGATGCGGGTACAATTAGTATCCAAATAATATTTAACATGTATGGCTTTCAACGCCCATTTCCGGACCGCCAAGCTGAGTCATTTATCAGTTTTAGCTTGCAGCTGCTACTAGCTCCTCTCCCTTAGACAAGGCAAATGAGGCCCATCACTCGGAACTGTACGCACATGCCGAGTTATAAATGTGTGGGCAGAAAGCACATTTAAATCTAAGGGTATTTGGCTGACTATCGTGCCACCTGCCCACTCACAAGGTCGACCCCCCCCCCCTCCTCCTCCCCTCCCCCCGCCACCGCAGGGCTGAAATCCTGTCTCATACAAGTCCCAATACTTTGACTTAAAATCGATGGCGACAAAGTTTGACAGCAAAGGCTGTTTTCTGCTTGGCCTTCGTTACCCGGGATACGACAGTCGACACTTTCAGGAAGTTGAGTCCTTCAAACTTCACAGGCATAAAACCGGTGAATAAACCGACAACAAAAAACGACAGACCAAAGTTCGTATACTCCAGTCTACTCATTTTGTTATCACAACAACTTAAGCCAGTGGAGCAGGCACCAATTTTCGCAGAAGTCGGGGATGTCTACAGGGAAGGCTTGAAGGTGCTGCTAAAGACGAAAGACCAGGAAGGCCTCACATTGATGCATCAGCCTCACTAAGCCCTATTCCACTGACTTTTTAAGAAGTGGACTGTGAAGTCATAAGCACAGCTCATAGTTCATCCATATTCCTAGACAGGGCCTGTTTTCTGTTACTACGGCCATCCGCCATCTATTTTATGTCATTAAGGAAATGACGTGTGAAGCTACGAGTTCAATTATTATCTCTACTACACTTTCCACAATAGCATTAACTTGTGTACCAACATGTGCCGTTTGCTGGCGCAAGACAATATCTATTTACCTTAAGTATTGTCGCGGAGGCGCGGAAGGAGAGACGACTGAGCGGGCCGAGACTTGTATTCCAACTGTGGTTCAGGTTCTGATTCGCCAGTGCCTGTGCGTTATATGCAGGGTGGTTGCACAATGAAGGACCGGTCCGCCGA